ACTGTTACCTGGGCCTACAGATGCCCCGTGCATAACTGAAAGCAGAACAAACCTGGGCCTTCATTTTGTACCTGTCTCCTTTATTACTTAAAAGTTCAGGTCAGATCCCTGCTGAGCTCTGCACACAGTGTTCTACATTTAGGAAGCATCTGTGTGAGAGCTGATAGCACAGGGCCGATTACCCCGAAGTTTACATAACCTAATTCACCTCCCTTTAAGACTGAGGACACTTAGATAAGAAATTTGCAAGGACAATGAATTACCAGCGAATCCCCCAGATGTCTCCAGCAGGTCCCTAAACTCACAGTCCTCTTGGACTCCAGCAGAGCTGCCACAAAACTGATCTTGCCCCCAAGGACTTTCCCTGAAGGCCTCTTACAAACCCAGAACTGAGATAATGATCATCTAGATCTTATCCCACTCCAACCCCTTAAAAACTGGTCCTTTCCTTTCTTTTCCTTTCCTTTCCTTTCCCTTTCTTTCCTTTCTCTTCTTTCTTTCTTTCTTTCTTTCTTTCTTTCTTTCTTTCTTTCTTTCTTTCTTTCTTTTTTTCTTCTTTCTTCCTCTCTCTCTCTCTCTCTCTCTCTCTCTCTCTCTCTCTCTCGTATTCATTAGAGTGTTTACAGGGTCTCACTACGTAGATTGGACTCGTAGTGATCCTCCTGTTTTCAGCCTCCCAAGCGCTGGGATTACAGTCCCGCACCACCACGCCCAGTCTCAATCACCATCTCAGCACACCCCAGGGGCGAGGCTGGCAAGGCAGGCTGGGGATCGAACCCCAGTCTTTGTGTCTGCCTAAGCAGGCACTTTAATCCACTGAGCTATCTGACTGGCCCTTCTTCTATTTTCTATAAGTATGTGATTGTAGTAGATACTGACTACATTGGTCATGGGCAGTAGGCACAAATATATAAGGTATCTTTATTCTTTTTATTCCTCTTTCCCTGCCTTCAACTTTCAGTTTGATTCTCTCCATCAGAGCAGTGCTCCCTGCAGCTCCCTCATTTTAAATTTTGTCGCATTTCCTCTTACTTTTTAACTTTGCCTAACAAACCAGCCTACACTCTTCTCTGACCCATCCTGAAATGCTCTCACATGAGGCCAAGGCAGAAGGGAGGTGGGAGAGGAGAGGTGCTTGCCCTCCACTGAACCCCACCCCCATCCCCAGACCTGCACACCTCTCAACCTCTCATCCTCAAGCTCTCCTGCCCGCTAAGCCTCGCTGCTCTTTGGTGACTTGGTCAGCACATCAGAAAGGTCAAGTTCTTGCTCAAGGGTGCCCAAGCAGGAGTGATGCTTGCTTCCCAGGACAGCTCTCTCCAGCTTCAGGCAGAAGACTCAGAGCGGCTCCTGTCAGGGGACTCCTGGGCTCTGGCGCATACACGTACACACGGATACAGACACATGTGCACCCACGTGGTCTCAGCATGTGGCAGAGGCAGTGCCCTTCTTCTTGAGCACCTTCATGTTCTCATCTAAGAGCACAGCCCCCAGACCCCTTTCCTAGGAACTCTTGGGGTCAGAGGTAGACCTGCCAGGCCCTGAGCTGTCTGGGCAGCTGTCTTGACAGAGGCAGTTGGAGCAGAAGAGATAAAGAGATCCAATCAGGCCTGTGGTTGGCTGCTCCACCAGGGCTTTGGACAGTTTTTGTGAAAGTGGTTACAGAAGCTTGAGGTTTCAAGTTGGCAAGGGGAGGCAGGGGGAAGACTTGGGGGGTGTAGACACACAGAGCTATATGATGCTAAGTTCTAGGAAAGGAACAGCAAGAACAAGGGCAGGAAGACCTGGCCAAGGCTCATGACCTCCCTTTCCAAATGGAAAAGTACATGTGAGTTACTGGAATTAAACAGGATACCACACATTTCTGAGCACTGGCTTAAGTTCACCCCTGGGCTCGGTGTTGGTTACACAAAATCAGATGTGGTGTCCTGGGGGTGAACACAGTAACAGGGCCGCCCCAGTGCAGTACAGCACGTGCTGTGGGACACATCAGCAGAGGGGAGGCATCTAAATGAGATGTTATTTGGGGGTGAACAGGAAAGGCTCCTGGAGGAGGTGTTGGCTCAGCTCCAGTGAGAAGATAAGTTAGCAAGGCAAGGGACATGCACAAGGACCCAGAGGTGACAGGGAAGACAGCGCATCAGAAAACTCCAGGAATGGCTAGGGATGCAGCCCAGTGCTAGGGCACTTGTCTAACACACCCCCAGTCCTGTGTACCATTCTGAGCACCCAAACCCAGAGCCAGACAAACCCAGAGAGATCAAGGCCGGAGGGTGGTTGGTGGGGAGGAGGAGGGAAGGTAGAGAATGAAGAGTCCCTGCAGGATCTGGGAAGCTGGGGAATAAGCGAGGATTCCCTGGTTGCTACTAAAAGGACACTATGCACAGACCCTGTCCCGGTTACTTTTCTCATTGCTGAGGCAAAATACCCAACACCCAAAGTTGAAGGAGGAAAGGTTTATTTAGCTCCCAGTTTGTAGGGGTTTCAGTCCACAAGACCAGCACCCCTCAAGCCCAGTGGCTCCCTCGTTCCCAGGGACCCACAATGTACAGAGACAGGGAGGTGATGGAAGGACTTGAAAGCCTCCTGGCTTGTCATTTAACAATTAAGAAGTGGCAAAACCAGTACCAAGGACAGAGCAAGGAAAGCTGTTCCTCTTCATGCAGAAAATAAAGGGAGCAGAGTCTACAAGGGGTTCTTACCACTCACCATGACCACACAGCAGCAATTCTAAACAGTAGCAGCGATAGCCTCTCCTTCCTGAAGACATCTGGTGTTGGTCTATAGTCTAAACAGTCACTGCAGTTACCCTTGAGCATGTCAACTTCAAGTTACTGCGTTTTAATTTCTTACTCTTTACTGAACACTGTGTCCTATGTTGAAGTTCATTAAGAAAATGCCTAGTAAATCAGTGATTCCCTTCGCTAAGGGCCTGCATGACACCAGTGCTGATAATTCAGAATAAGGTTCACAGGCTTTGGTATAGTACCTCGTCTTTAAACAACAGTCTTGCCTTTTAAGCAGCTGACTCGCTATAAACTGTGGTAGTGTGGCGACTGTAGAGACAAATAGACAGAACTCTATTTCTTCAATTCTGTCCTTTCACATGACTGCTGGAGTTCTGTGTTTAAAATTTAAAACAAGTGCAAACTGTGCCAATTGTTAAGTACTTTTAAATGCAAATTTTGTTTCACACATGAAATATTTTACTGACTTCCATTCATCTCTCAAAGGTTGAACTCACTGTTTTTCTTAATGTTTTGATTGTTCATTTTAAAACTTATGAACAGGGTTGGCCAGATAGCTCAGCAAACTAAAGTGCCTGCTTAGGCAGGTGCAGGGACCGGGGTTCGATTCCCAGTGTGCTGTGCCAGCCTCACCCCTGGGGCCTTCTGAGAGGGTGACTGAAACTGAGGATGGTGGTGTGAGCCTGTAATCCCGATGCTTGGAAGGCTGAGGATCACTATGAGTCCTATCTGTGTAGTGAGACCCTGTAGAACCTGTACTAAACAAATAAATAAATCTAATGAACAAATCAAGAAAATAGAGACTGTTAACAATAGTTAAACCATCTATATATACATTATTTAATATGCATTCATGCTTTTTTTTGAGACAGAGTCTGTCTGTGTAGTTCAGGCTGGGTTTGAATACATTATGTAGCCAAGGCTGGCCTTGAACTCGTGGTGATCCTCCTGACTCAGCCTTCCAAGCACTGGCCTCATTCATGCAATTTATTTATTTTTTTTTAATTTGTGTGTGTGTGTGTGTGTGTGTGTGTGTGTGTGTGACCAGCTCAGCCCACCTGGGGGCAGGGCGGGCTGGTATGTGGTTCTGGGGGATTGAACCGTGGTCCCTGTGCTTTGCCAAGCTTGTTCTAAGTAGGTGCTTTAGACCACTAAGCTATCTCACCAGCCCTCATTCATGCAATTTAAAAAGCACTAATCAGTTGTTCTTTTCCTTTTATGCATGGTAAAATATTTTATTTTTATTTCTTTATTGTTATGATTATATATACAAAGTTGAATAAAAAAGAACTTTCATGTATTTCTGGTCATTGCTATTAGTTGTTTCATTTAATGAGTATCATTAAAAATGCTCTGTTATGTGGAAGAGGGGAGCATCAAAAAGAAACCTGAGCCAGGCTAGACAGTAACCCATAGTAACCCCAGCTGCTCAGGAGGCTGAGGCAAGAAGGTTCAGCCTAGACTACATAGCAAGACAATACATTAAAAAGTAGAGTGGCAGGCCTGGGAGATGGCTCAGTGGCATAAGAGCCTACCTGACAGGCGCAGGGTCCTGAGTTCGATCCCTGGTACCCCACCACCACCACAAAAAGGTAGAATGGCACTGGAAAACGCAGCTCTGTGAAAGAGGACTTGCCAGGGATGTGTGAGGTCCTGGGTTTCATCCTTAATACTGAAAGAAAAAGTCTGATACTCTTGATTGCCATGAGCAAAATTAAATCCTAAGGAAAACCTCTCCAATGAGGCCCTTGTGGGCCCAAGAAAAAGTCCACGGGCAAAGGAAAGAGGAGATGGTTCCCCCGCTCACACCCTTTTCTTGGTCCGTGTGTCGTTGCCTACACCATACAGATGTCAAAGGCACCGGGAATGATAGGACCCCACCCATCGGGCCTGCTGCCTGGCGAAGGCTGTGGCGGGCGCCCAGGCTGGAGCAGCCCTGCCTCTGCGCTTCCTCTTGATTTTCACATCCTGGGCCCACAGAGTCACAGACCACAGAGCCACAGACCCGTGGTGATCTTCCGAAGCCTCCTCCAGGCACCCAGCCCAGAAGGCTCTGTGCTCACTGCCCCCGCCTTCAGGCTGATGGTGGTGGCTGCCCTTCAGGGATGGTCTCAGGGGAGCTTGAAAGGAGACAAGGCTCCTCAACAGCGCTGCTGTGTGTCCACTGCGTGTCAGCCACTGTGGCAGGGTTTCACATCCACTCCTCCAACCATTCCCCAAGTAGACAGGACAGCCCTCTGCTACCAGGGAGGAGGTGGCCCCAAGGCTGAGGAATTAGGGTTGCTGGGATCAGGGACAGGCTCCTGGGTGTGACTGCCTGGATTAGGGTTTGGCCTTGTCTGTGGGGCAGATCAGAGATGGCTTCCCACAGGGAGCCAAGAGGAAAGGCTGGCGCTTGTAGGTGGCGGGTTGAGGTGTCAGGTTCTAGGAGAAGGGTCACTTGGGAGGGCATAGAATGAGCAGCATCTGTCCTCTGACCCCCAACAGTTTCTGCTCCTTTAGCCTCCCTGCCTGAACCTCTGCAGGTGTGTAGGCCCAGCCCCAGCAGCACCCCAGGCCTGACCTCCAGTCTGGCTGTGCAGGGCTGTTCTACGATCCCTTCCCATCTTCTTGCCTCTCACCACCACCATGAGCAATCAGGGGGCCCAGATCCCTAAGACATGGGCCAACGTGGCAGGAAGGGCTGAGTCTAGCACTCAGGGTTCAGTCTCAGGCTGTGGTCCCTGTGACCCATGGCAGCCCCCAGCTGTGACAGAACCCTTCACTGTTGCTGAAGAAGCAGAGGCCGCTATGGTGGACAGCAAGGCTCACTCCAAGAGCAGGCACCCTAGAAAGAGCGTGGCCTGTGCCACATACACCTCAGCGAGCTCCACTGTAGGGCGCATGCTGCCATTCAAAAATCTCTCTTTCGCTGGAGCTATCGCTCAGCAGCATAAGTGCCTGTCTGGCAAGTACAAGGTCCTAAGTTTGATCCCCTGTACCACAAAAAAAAAAGTATCTGGTGAGGATCACCATCCTATCCCACAGCTTTGGAAACAGCTGGAGGAGGCAGGATTTACCCAGAGTCACACAGTGGGTCAGCAAGGAACTGGGTACACTTTCACCACCTTCAGAGTGAAAGAAAGCTCTTGTTGCAGGGCAGGAGCCTCTGCTGAAGACGAGAGATAAGATCGGGTGGCCTGGCCATCAACGGGGGCTTGTGAAAGGGTTGCTAAAGCAAAGCAGCAACTGTGGGGAGCAACTGTCGGGGCTGGAGCGTTGCTGAGGGAGGAGGGGTGGAGGAGGGTGCTGGTCCAGCCGAAAAGGAACCGGTTCAGGGTCTAGGAGGAGGGGCAGGCAGCCCTGTGGGGCTCTGAAGCAGTACTGGCCTACACTGAGGGAGGAAAAGGTACATCCACCAGAAGAGGGGGGATGGCATGGGGCAGTGATGGCACAGCTGTAGGTGCAGCCGTGGGCGCAGCTGTGGGTGCAGCGGTGGGCAGGCTGCAGAGGTGAACCCTCCAGATGGGCGGGGGATGGGCCTCTGAGGAAAGGTAGCAGGCAGTGTGAGAAAGGTGGACCTGCACATAGGCTGCCTGTGGTGCCTTCCATGTGGATGGCAGGGAGCGGGGCTCCCTTGGGGTCACACTGATAGAGGCATGGCTGGATCAAAACTCAGCTTGGTCTGAGTCCATTGCAGCAAGCAACCTCCAGCCATGCCCAGAAGACCTCTGACTTCAGCACCTGCCTCAGAATCGAACTGTCACTACTGTGTATTGAGGATACCTGGGAAGAATAAAGCTCTAGGGGACTCTGCTATCAGGCTCTGCTGAGTATTCCCGGGCGGGGGGGGGGGAATATTTCACTGCCTGGATCTGCCTCAGCCACCCCTTTATCGTCCCTGGCACCTCAGAATGGGCTGAGGAGGCCGAGAGACCAGGCCAATCATTGACCCTAGATTATTCATTCAATTGACAAATGTTTTCTGAGTACCAAACATTTGGGTACCAAACCCAAGTCCTACACTGGGCACCGGAAGAGACAATCGGAAGGCAGAGGAGTTTCTGGCTGGTAAAGAAGGAGAGGCTTTCCAGTCATCTGACCCAACTCCTGCCTTAGGGATGTGGAAACAGAGGCCCAGCCACATCCTTAGTGGGGGCTGGGGCCAAACACGACCCTGTTCCAAGGCACACTGCTCCCCAGTCCTCCTGCAAGATTCATCAGGTGGTGCCTATGTCCTGGGCACTGCTTTACGCCCTGGGAGGAAGACAGACTCAACAGTAGGAGGTTGAATGGAGTGGAGGTGGAGCAAGAGGGTGAAGGGGATGAATGTCTCCAGGCTGGTAAGGGACCAGGGTTTGGGGGCAAGGCGTTTCATCTCTCAACCCCCCTAAAGATCAGAGGGCTGCTCCAGAGCTCCGCCTCAGGGGTTGGGCTTCTGGGGCCCAGGGCAGCCCTTGCCCGCCAGGAGGGGATATAAAAGTTTTCTCTCAGCTACTTCCAGAGAGAAGCAGGAAGAGGTGGCTAGTGAGCTGGGGGGCCTCTGGGTGGAAGGTTTTAGGGGACCCACCTGTGGAGTCAGAGGTCTCACGCAGAGATGCAGCTGCTCCTGGCCCTGGCAGGAGTCCTAGCCACACTCCTCCTCACCCAGCCCTGTGAGGGCACTGTCCCAGGTAATAGCCCCTTGAAGAGCCGAGGAGGAGGGTGGGCCTGAGGGAAAGGAAGTGGAGGGAAACACTCGGATGTGGGGGTCTGTGGGTCCTTTGGACTCCGAATCCTCTCCCTCTAAACAGTCACCCTTGGGGCAGTGGAGACCTCAGTCCTTCAGGACTGCATAGCAGAGGCCAAGCTGCTGGTGGATACTGCTTACAACCAGACCCAGAAGAGGTGGGCCAGGCCTGGGAGCGCCAGGGAGGGGATGGGCCCAACAATGTCATCTTATCACCCAACACCCTGGGCATCTTGGAACCTCCCTTCTCTACGACCACAGTCTTCCTACTTCCAACTGTTTACTCCCTGCAGTGGGGCTCTGAGGGGTGGGACTGCACCCTTCCTTCAGTCTTCCCCCCTCCCCCTCTGAGCAGCATCAAGCAGCGTCTTCGCAGTGGCTCAGCCAGCCCCATGGACCTCCTGTCCTTCTTCAAGCAACCAGTTGCAGCCACCAGGACTGTTGTTCAGGCTGCTGACTATATGCATGTGGCCTTAGGGCTCCTGGAAGAGAAGCTGCAACCCAGGGGATCCAGGCCCTTCAATGTCACTGGTACTATGCTCTCCACTTATCCTGAGAGTGAAAGAAAGCCAGGAGTGGGGGAGGTGGGGTGCACGGCCATGGAGTGTCGGGAGGAGAGAGGGGAACAAGATGGCAAAGGTTGCCAAGGGCCAGTCCAGAAAGGGACCAAGACCCTGCACTCAGACCGGTACACCTGGCCCTGCAGATGCACTCACGGACCCCCAGCTGCACCTGCTGTCCCAGGCCAGTGGCTGTGCTCTCCTAGGCCAGGCTGAGAAGTGTAGCAACAAGTACCGCACCATCACGGGGAGATGCAACAACAGGTGGGTGCCAGGGCTGCCCTCGCCCAGGGACCCTGCTCCCCTCCCCACCCCTCCCTCCAGGCCTCACACCCTGCTAACCCCCACCCACTCCTGCCACAGGAAGAGACCCTGGCTCGGGGCCTCCAACCAGGCCCTGGCTCGCTGGCTGCCGGCTGAGTATGAGGACGGGCGGTCGCTCCCCTTTGGTTGGACCCCTGGCAAAAGGCGCAATGGCTTCCTCCTCCCTCTTGTGAGTTGGGGTGAGGAGGCCTCAAGAAGCTTGATCTTCTTCAAATACAGGGAGTAAAAGAACCTGAAGGCAGCCGGGCAGATTCACCCCAAGCTCCCCTACCAGCCAGCTGAGTCAGTTTCCCTATCTCCAGAGGGCTCATAGAGCTGGTGTGAATAACAAAGTAATGAGTCTGAAGAACCACACAGGACATGATCTCTTAATGCTAGCTGTTGTAGTATTGGGCTGTTTGTCTGCTTGTTTGTTTTCTGAGAGGATTGCTGTCAATACATCTTAATTTGGCTATACCTATTGATCTATATGATTTCACATTTATTGATTTTTTTTTGTTTATATGCCAATATAACAATTAGGCATCTACCCACCTAACAATAGCTACTTGTTATTTTTCTTCCATGGCCCCTTCCATCTATCCAGTTCTCTCTTTGTTATCCAACACCTTGCAACGAGTCCATGCATCTGTGAATCATTCCTATTATCTGTTGGTCTACACATTAATGTATCCATTTGATCTACTCACTTCTCTGGAAGACCTCACAGGGCCCAAGTCAGCCATATGAGTCCCTCTCCTCTTTGCTGCTGGATGCCTCAGGAGTCAGGCCAGAGGCCATCCTTCTAGAAATGACAGCCACAGTGGTAGAGGCTGCATCTCCAGGGACAAAAGAGAACAGAGGGAAAGGCAGAAGAGGAGAGACTCTGGCCACTCCAGCAGGGGGAGCTGCCTCCCCGCACCTCCACCCCCAGTCTTGGGTTGGCTCTAGCATCAACCCAAGGCCCAGGCCCACCCCTGGCTTCATTTCTCCACCAGGTCCGGGCTGTCTCCAACCAGATTGTGCGCTTCCCCAGAAAGAGGCTGACCTCTGACCGTGGCCGGGCCCTCATGTTCATGCAGTGGGGCCAGTTCATCGACCATGACCTGGACTTTTCCCCAGAATCCCCAGCCAGAGTGGCTTTCACTGCAAGCGTGGACTGTGAGAAGACCTGTGCCCAGCTGCCGCCCTGCTTCCCTATCAAGGTATCTCAGCTGCCAACTTTCCAGGCCCCCAGGGTGGCTTCTAGCCAAGGCAGAGTGTGACAGATGGGGACAGGGGAGACTGAGGCTGTCTCGAGGAGCCATCTGTGGAGCTGGGGCATAATCCAGAGACCCAGGGTGCAACTGTGCACAGCTCCTGCTGCTGCACATCCTAAGGAAGGGAAGGGATGAACTAGAAGCTCAGGTGGAGCTTCATGGAGGGGAAGCTGTAGAGACAGCATTGAGCTGTGGATCTGGTCCCCAGGGCGGGAGCCCTGGGCGCCTACTTCTGGAAGACTGTAGGATCACTTTCTCTCCTCAAGGAGGTCCAAGGTCCCTGCAGATCTCACCAACTTCTGGGGTTGGGCTGTGAGCAGAGCACTGTCCTGCTGGAAACAAGCATGGCATGGGACACTAGGCAAGAAACGACAGGCTCCAGGGACTGGAGGCTCTGCTGGGGATGCAGGGGCAGACACTGTCACCCACTCATCTACAGGAGCCAGATCACACTCAGGAGTGATGATGTGTGAGGGCCTTTGGCTGGCCCCTCCCTATTGCCACTTCGGCCCTTCCTCAGGCACTGGCACAAGAGCCCCTCCTCAGCAGAGCTTCTAGACCTTCCTAGTGTACTGTTAGCATCTGGCTTTTGTATCAAACACAGCAAATGCCACTTCACTGGGGGTGACTTAGCTCTGTATGCCTGTGTCTGTCTTTACTGAACTGGCTGTTTCCTGCCACCTGTACTGGGTTCATTGACCTTCTTGGTCTCTAAAGCACCCAGAAAGAAAGGAGCTTAGGGATTGTTTGTCAAGCTGTGTCTCTTCTCGGGGTTTCCCTGCCTATAAGATGAAGTTGTAGCTTGTTTCAAAGTTTCATCCATTTCTAATCTTTTGTGACTCTATGATACAAAATGGTAAGGACACTCAGACCCAAGGCATGAACAGTGTGGGTCCAGGTGAGTCAGAGAAGGCTTTCTGGAAGAGGTCTTTTGAGCAAGCTTTTGAGGGAAGTGGGAGATGACCCAAGGGAGGTCTCCTCTTCCACCTCAGATTCCACCCAATGACCCCCGCATTAAGAACCAGCGTGACTGCATCCCCTTCTTCCGCTCGGCACCATCATGCCCCCAAAACAGGATCAACGTCCGCAACCAGATCAACGCACTCACCTCCTTCGTGGATGCCAGCATGGTGTACGGCAGTGAGGTCTCTCTTGCCCTGCAGCTCCGCAACCGCACCAACTACCTGGGGCTGCTGGCTGTCAACCAGCGCTTCCAGGACAACGGCCGGGCCCTGCTGCCCTTTGCCAATATGCATGATGACCCCTGTCTCCTCACCAACCGTTCTGCACGCATCCCCTGCTTCCTAGCAGGTCAGACCTGAGGGGTTCCAGTGACTTCCTGGGCTGGGGAAGCCATGGTGGGATGCGGTGAGGGGAGATAGTTTAGGACCTCAGTAGTAGGCACACCAGAGGCATCCATCTGGGCAGAGTCATCAGAGAGCCAGTAAGTTGTGAGAAATCCCTTTGCCAATCCACTGTGTGTGATCAGCGGTCCCTGCTTGACTATCCTTAGTGAGGGGGGACTGCTCACCATCCCCAGGCCACTCTGCTGGCTGGGAGAAGCAGCCCCCTTACTTGAATTCAATATTTTAAGACACTTCTAGCACCTCAGAGATGGTCTCTCCTTACACAGCAACAACCCCTTTAATTATCTGAAAGCAGCTTTGGTTTCAGATAATTAAATAACCCCTAGGTTGTTTTCTTTTCCAGGCTCCCTTTTCTTACCCACCCCCAACTCAGTGATATGTGGTACCGTCTTCTAGATGCATAATATAAACTCTCCTTGAAGTCTTTTGCCCCCACGTATGGGAATATGACAGTGGTAATCATTTCCAATTAATGAAGACACTTGAATGGGCCGTCCCTAAACCTCAGCGCAGCCCTGAAGGATAGGAATTACTATCATCCTTTATGGACAACTGAGACTCAGGAAAGATAAGGAACATGTACGAAGAGTACAGAGTCTTAGAGGGAAGGGCCCCTGTGGAGTTAGTGTAGCTCTGGGGCCTCTGCTCTGTCTGCTCTGGCCCCTGCTTTCCTCAAGGCAAGCAGCTCCAGCTGTGCACAGTAAAGACTAGATGTCACTGAGTCCCAGCAAGACCAGCAAGCTTGTTCATGAGGGTTCCCTGAAGCGTGGTCTGAACGAGATCCTGAGAAGGGGCTTGGGGAGAAGCCAGGTGACAGAACTCACCTTTCCTGCCTATCTGTTGGAAAGGGCCAGGTACAGAAATGGTCTGTTCATGCCTCCCTCTTCTTCTCCCTCCCTCTGGCTCTTGGGGGAGAGGAGTGTGACAGCAAATCCAAAGATGGGAAGGCCCAGTCCTCGGAAGAGCACACACACACACAGTGCCTCCCCAAATCACATTCCCAAGGTTGGCAGCTTCCCCCACTACAGCTGCTCCAGGTCATCTTGTAGGGTCACCAGGTTACTATTTCCCCACTGGACATGTAACTTCCTGCAGCCTTCCACACACCCAGGACTCCACTGTCCTCCCTATACTGGGCTGCAGCACTGGGAGTGTGGCAGTCAGTGAGTGTCCTCGCACAGCCAAGGATGTGGAAGGGCCTCGAAGGCAAAGCCTGGCCCACCCCACCTCCCCAGGTCCTGGGCCTCAGTTTCCCCTCATAGAAAGACTGTCTGGGAAGGGCTGTGGCAACTTGGAACTTGGGGTTTTCAAGGTGACTCCCGGTCAAGTGAAACCCCCAAGCTGGCAGCCCTGCATACCCTCTTTATGCGAGAGCACAACCGGCTGGCCACTGAGCTGAGACGCCTGAATCCCCACTGGAGTGGAGACAAGCTGTACAATGAAGCCAGGAAGATCGTAGGGGCCATGGTTCAGGTAGGAAGCCCCAGGTCCCAACATCACTCAGAAGCCAACATGGGGAGCAGTGGGGAAGTGGCTCACCCCTTCCTTAGCACTCGCTTGGGGGTGTGCTCAAGTCAGCCAGGTCAGGCAACTAGGGAGGCGCCTCTGTCCCAGTTCTGCTGTTATCTAACTCACTGCGACCCACGCACTCAGCCTCTCTGGGCTGCAGTTTCTCATTCCCCATTGGGAAGTTAACATTGGCACATCTGCTGTGACAACAGTGAAGACTTCCTCGGTCTGAACAGTCCTTTGAAAGCATGAGTATCTGTGTGAAGCAAGCCAGCAACAGCCTTCCATGTCTCCTCTCCCAGATCATCACCTACCGAGACTTTCTGCCCCTGGTTCTGGGCGAGGCCCGGGCCAGAAGAACCCTGGGACGCTATCAGGGGTATTGCTCCAACGTGGACCCGAGAGTGGCCAACGTCTTTACCCTGGCCTTCCGTTTCGGCCACACCATGCTGCAGCCCTTCATGTTCCGCTTGGACAGCCGGTACCGGGCCTCAGCACCCAACGCCCACGTCCCGCTTAGCTCCGCCTTCTTTGCCAGCTGGCGAATCGTGTTTGAAGGTGATGGGGCTTTCCAGAGGCAAAGGGGATGTGGTGGGGAGGTCTCCCTGCCCTGCAGAGCGGGGATTCCTGAGAAGGGCAGAGACCAGTGTCAGACTGGCTTCTTGTAGACTTGCAGAGAGGTGGCCTTTAGCTCCTTTGTTAAGAAGTGAGGTGACCCTTCCCCTGCTTTGGCTCCCCCATGTCCAGACACACACTATACAGCTGCCTTGTACAGCTCTAAGCTAGTGTGAGATAACACCAGGGGCTTCTACAGGCGGGACTAATCCCTGCTGCCATCATTCTCCACCACCAGGTGGCATTGACCCCATCCTCCGAGGCCTCATGGCTACCCCTGCCAAGCTGAACCGTCAGGATTCCATGGTAGTGGATGAGCTCCGGGACCGTCTTTTTCAGCAGGTGAGAAGGATCGGGCTGGACCTGGCAGCCCTCAACATGCAGCGCAGCCGGGACCACGGCCTTCCAGGTGAGCTGGCTCCCCACCTCTCCCCCTAGCTTCTGCTCGGGCTGGGCTGCTCAGGGCGCTTTGAGAATAGTGGGGCGCCCTGTTGAATGGATGTGTGGTGGTCCAGAGCAGCGTGTGAACCCTTGCTTGCTAGCCTGTCACTTCTTTCCCACTGCTGTATGGGCTCCAGCTTTAGGTTCACCACAGAGTCAGGACTTGGGCATGGAAGCAAACAAAGGAGACCAGAACTTTCCAAAAGGAGTTAACTGGAAAAGCAGGGAAGACCTGCTCCATTCCTCGCCTCCTGGGCAAGTTCCAGGGAGGAAAGCGAAAGCTATAGGCCTACAAAAGCTGGCTCTTTGCGAGAGGTCCAAAGCTCTCCAGAGTCAAGTAGCTAGTGGAGTAAAAGTAAGGCTGCCATCCCAGGAAAGAAAAAAAAAAAAAAAAAAAAGGAGCAGGCACTTTCAGGGACAACCTATTCAGTCCTCCCAATGACCTTGGGATGCAGATATTAGGGCTATTTTACACATAAGGAAATAAATTCAGGGCCGGAGAGATGGCTCAGTGGAATAAGTGCTTCCCTGGCAAGCGCAAGGGCCTGAGTTCAATCCCTGGTTCTGCCAAAAAACAAACAAACAAAAAGGAAATAAATTCAACTTGCCCAAGGCCACACAAGCAGGAAGTAGTAAAACTGAACTGAAATTGAAACTGACTCCCTTCTTCCTGCTGTTCCATATCAATAGGGAAAAGGGGTGAGCCCCTGCTGTTTCCTTCTGCTGGGTGCCCTCTCGCCCTGTATAAAGGAGTTAGGGGACTTCATGTTACCTAATCCATGAACAAAGCACCTGACAGACACACAGCAGGCACTCTGGAAACCTGAGTTTCTTTTCTTCTTGCACTGGGCTCCCTGACAGCTAAGGAGCTGTAGGCACCCCCTGCTGGAGACCTGAGATCACTAGCCAGCCCTCTAAGTTGCCACAAGATGACTTCCATTCCCTTTTCTCCTATCTGCCATTCCTGAAAATTCCTAACACCAGCTCTCACAGACTCCTCTAAGCCCTTCTCAAGTCTAACACCAAATTTGGGGATGGACAACCGGGTTTAAACTCCAGTTAAAAGAGAACTGACACCCACAGATCACTATTAAATATACCAGATATATTACTATAAAAGTATTCACAAAGATTCTATAGGGGTCCTGAGAAATGTTCACGCAAAGGAGCTCGTAATAATAAGACACTGTATGGTTTCCTTTGTTTAGGTGGGGGATGGGGTTTGTGACACAGGGCTGGTATTTCTTCAGATTATGTAAAGACATCTCCATCCTTGGTTGTCCATAGCTTTGGCCCTGGTGTGGGATCCTGGTGGGTTCCTTCCTTCCTTCCCTCATTGAGTCAAAGTCTCACCAAATCACTAAATCGCATAAGCTTGGGCTTAAACTTATAACACTCCTGCCTCAGTCTCCCAGAGTGCCAGGATGACCAGGATGGAACACCATGCCTAGTGACCACTAATCTACTTTCTGTCTGACTATTCTAGACCTGTCATTATATAAATGGCATCGTATTGTATGTGGTCCTTTTCTGAGTAGATGAGTTTTTATTTGTTGGTTTGTCCACTCGCTGATTTACTTGCTCCTTCATTCGTTCTATAATTCTGATTGAGAGCTTCTGTTGTTCTGTGTGCTATGCCTAACTGATGCACATGAGCTCAATAACAGTATCATGAAGCTCCACACTGTGAGCTTTGGTGACAACAGCTTCTTACATTAGGATACACTCTTCAGTCCGATGCACATGAAGCCTGGTTGTCCACTCCCATTTTAGATGACAGCAAGCAGGTCTTTGTGCCAGTGGGGACCTTCTTGTTTGGCCCAACGTTGACTATGCACAGAGCAAAGACCAGCTTGCTGTCTAAAATGATGGCACAGCCATGCTCTGGAGGACTTGGGGAGAGAAGCAGAAACTAATGAGATGGTTAGGATTGAAACTGCTTCTGTCTCCTCCAGGATATAATGCGTGGCGGCGCTTCTGTGGGCTTTCCCAGCCCCGGAACTTGGCACAGCTTAGCCAAGTGCTGAAGAATCACGGTTTGGCAAGGAAGTTCTTGAAACTATACGGGACACCTGACAACATTGACATCTGGATTGGGGCCATTGCAGAACCTCTTTTACCAGGGGCCCGTGTAGGGCCTCTTCTGGCTTGTCTCTTTGAGAACCAGTTCAGAAGAGCTCGAGATGGAGACAGGTAAGTGACCCCATTGTAAAAGACATCAGTACAGAAACAGAGGAGAAAACCACTAGCATCGCAAGAATCCTTGGGGAAAAGTTTTAGATTGGTTTCAGGCTCCTCTCTGGAGAACTGGGTCTAAGAGACACAGACGCTGACCCAAGCGAGGAAGCAAGGCTGATACTGCCAGGGCTGCAGTCACCTTAGACCAAAAGAGGCTTGTCACGTACTGTTCTGAGCTGCCAGATCCCATAAGACAGAAAAGGATTAAATCTGGTTTCCCTCCAGTAACCTTGTGGACTAATGCCGGACTCCTTACTTGGATGTGATTTTTGTTTGGTTTCAAATCCGACATTGACCATTTAAATAACTGTGCATTTAATACCAAGCAATTTATTTAACCACTGAAACTATTTCTCCACTTATGAAATAGTAATAATACGTCTCTTGGAGTAGGTTTCTGGGAATTGAATGAGATATGGTGTGTGCCCGGTACAAGACAAATGCTCGTGAAGTAATTCCTTCCTAACCTTCTCCCAAATCTTTTGACCTCCTGGTAGGTTCTGGTGGGAGAAACGGGGTGTCTTCACCAAGAGACAGCGCAAGGCTCTGAAACGGATTTCCTTGTCTCGAATTGTGTGTGACAATACTGGTATCACCACCGTTTCGAGGGACATCTTCAAGGCCAATATCTACCCGCGGGGCTTTGTCAGCTGCTACCGTATCCCCAAGCTGAACCTGTCAGCCTGGCGAGGCAAATGAGGCCTCTGCAGGTAAGGAGGGGCTTGGGCTGGGTCGAGCCCTCACATCCTTCCCTGGCTGCCTTTAGGCTTCTACGCAGAGACACTGATGCTTGTCACTGGGTCAGGGGCTCTTTCCTAGTAGCTTCCCAGTGTGCTAAACTCTGAGCTGATAGTCCCAAAGCCCAGGACTGTGGGAAACAATTAGAAAGCATCCAGCCACCCTTACAACTTGGTCACTAGTGCCCAACAGTTCCATTTCTGGGTATCTGGCAAGTTCCTCACTTATCTACTTCCACTGTTTCTGCAGGAGTCTGTGCCAAGCCCCAACCCCAGGAAGGAAGGGAAAGGGAAGATCGCGAGGCTGAGGCTGCCTTCACTGCTGGAGCAACTACTGCCTATTCATAGTTTTGCTAACTGCAACTCACTGCTGACGACATTGGCTGAGAGGGAAGGCTGGGGCTCCTAGCAACAATGGACCCACCCACCTTGGGAGCCTCTTAAAGACTAGGTATGGATTAGCACCAGATCCAAGGACTGGTGAGCCACGCCATGAGGCCTTGAGGTTCTAGCTGGAGCCAACTGAAGGACTTCCAGCACTTTCTTCCATTTCCCTGCCAATACCACCACCACTGCCACAACCAGAAGGCCACGAAGTCCCAGTCTTGCCACCCCACGATCCTGAGCCTGCAGGCTGGGAGCATGCTGTTTCTATTAATAAAGCACTGCTGAGGGCAGGGGATGCTGTGTCCATGTCGGGTTAGGGAGCAGGACCTAGCCCAGAGGTTGCAAAGCAGCACTGCTCTGACCCGAGTTGGCAATCTATGTCCCTGCTGAGGGCTGTTAAGACAGCCCAAGAAACACCCTGGAGGAGGGAAGGATAGAAAAGAGGAAGGGCAGAGGACTTAGCGGCCCAACATTAAGAGGTACCTGAGCCAGGCCAGCAACCTGAGCAGAGAAACAGTCCACAGAATGTGTCAATATATAAATAGATTTATGTGCAAAAAAAACCCCACAGAAAATGATACTGGACAGCTGAGAAAAAAGAACTGAGATTTACCTTCACCTCCTTTCATCTCAGAAATAAGTCCTCTGTCAAATTCAGCCAGCACTCATCAGTAGAAGGAGGCTGCCCTGAAAGTCGGGGCTACCACTCACAGGCCACGGTCTCTTATGCTCCTCCTTTCTTAGAAGAGGGCAAGTTGTTGTTGTTGTTGTTGTTGTTGTTGTTGTTGTTGTTGTTGTTCTTCTTCTTCTTCTTCTTCTTCTTCTTCTTCTTCTTCCTCTTCCTCTTCCTCTTCTTCTTTTAATTTTTTGAAACAGAGTTTTACTATGCAGTTCAAACAGGCCTTGAACTCACTTGATAGCCCAGGCTGGCCTCAAATTCACAGCAATCCTCCGGCCTCAGCCTCCCGAGCCCTGGGATTACAGGTGTATGCCACCACACCCAGCTGCATGTTCTATTTTTAAAGGCTGTGAAACAAGCAGCTTTCTGCAACTGAGACTGAGACAAGCCAGGAGAGGCTGCATCAAGGACAGGCCAGTCAGGGGTCCATCTGTGAAATCAGTTTTAGAGCCAAAGTCCTGCCTTGCTGTACCACTCATTATAGTAGCTGAACTATGAAGAGGGACCACGCAAGGCCATAGGATCTCTGGCTTTGCTCCCACATGACAGGAAGAAGACCCTGCTGACAGTCCAACAGAGGGGCCAGCCTGGCAATTTCCAGTGTGTCTGTTCCTTAGCAAGCCAATGTGGTCTTTGAGAAGAAAGACAAAGAGCTAGGAGGGCACAAACCTGTCATCCTTTGTTTTGCCCTCTTGTACCACAGGCCAGGGCCAAAGACAGCTAGGAGACCAATGTCCTCGGGGGGCTCACTAGGTCCTGGGGGAGGCTGTCGCGGGCTTCCTGCATGCGGCGCCGGGCTCGATGGAAAGCCTCTGCAAGGGAAAAAGATGCTGCTGTGTAACCCGCTGCTATAGTGCAGAGAAGAACGTGGTCCTGGGTGGCCAGCTGCTCAGGGGAGCTTACCCAACACATTGTGAACAGAGCTCTGCTGGCTGAATCCTTCCAAGCGGTCTAACACACTCCGCATCCTTTTCCGCAGGGAGCTCGATTCCATGAAGGCCCTACGGGGAAGCCCATCCCATGGTCATGGCTGCTCTTTGGCCCTTAGTGTTAAAGAGGCCAAGGCAGAGGACTGGGACAATTCACCTGGACTGCTGCAGACAGTGCAGGCGGAAGGTGACACTGCCTGTGGTCTCTGTGCGGAGTCCAAAGCGGCTGAGGCGCTCCCCCTAGGGCATCAGAGGAGACAGCATCAGGTTCTGCCTTCTCTGGACCCCAGGTGGTGCCTCGCCCCATGGTGGCTGGCCTAGCTGCCGCCATTCTTACTCCATTCTTTTTTTCTTTATGTATTTGATGCAAGGTCTCACTACGCAGCTCAGACTCGTAGTGATCCTCCTGTTTTCAGCCTCCCCAGCTCTGGGATTACAGGTGTGCGCCACCATGTCAAGTTTTGGTGGCTGGCTCAGTGCACCCTGGGGCAGGGCCAACACAGCATTGGTGCAGGGGACCAAACCCTGGACCCTGCACTTGCCTAAGCAGGTGCTTAGTCTGCTGAGCTATCTTGCCAGTCCCTCTCATTCCATTCTTTTTTTTTTTTTTTTCTTTTTTTCTCATTCCATTCTTGAGGGAGAGCAGTAGCATCAGGCCCCCCGGGGCTCCCAACTGTAACTCAGGGACATTCCAACCTCATCTAGGAAAAAGCAGGCTACAAGCTTCCTGCAAATCCTCCCTGCATGTGATTACTGAGGCCTTCAGTAAAGGAAGAAGGGGTGAGACATTCCAAGGGGTGCTAAGGAGAATCTCTAAGTACAGTATTTTCAAGAGATCTCCTAGGATGGCAGTGTGAATAGTTGTACCTGCTTCAAAATGTGGCTATGACTTCTAGCTGCAGCCATAAAGGAAAGCAGCTTAAGAACACTGAGGTAGTCAACAAAGGGAGAGGCCTCAACCCAGAACCCACCCTCTGTGGAATAGAACAGAAACAAAGATCCCAGCATGAAGCCGTCCCAGACACGAGTCACCTTGAAAGTGCTTGGTATCCGCACGTAGGTCAGGTCCTCCAGCTCCAGAGAGCCGCCAATGAAGAACCTCCTCAGCTCAGCCACAGGGCCCAGCTCCATAGGCCTCCACGTGGACACCGTCAGGGTGTGTGAGCCTGTGCAAGGGGAGAGGAGAACAGGGCTGAGGCTGCAAGGGGCACATAGCCCCTCACTGAGTCCTCAGCAATGACCACTCCGGGGAAAGTAACCCTGGTGGTTCAGAACACTTGTTTGGAAGCCAGTCAGATAGAACTTTAAATCTCAGTTCTTCCAGGGATCACCTGGAATAAGAATTCCAACTTCCCTGAGCCTCTTTCTCCTCAACCTACCTCTACCTCACAGGATGGTTGAAGAATTAGATGAGAAGCGTTTAGCACAAGGCCAGGCACTCAGCAAGAGGCTGATGCTTTTATTTCTAGGTGAATAGTGGTTCAATCAGTCCACATCTTCCAAGAACTCAATTATCTATCATACAGGTTCTCTTGCAAGGTCATAAATCCAGTCAGAGGGACAGAAAGCACATGACAGAGACCATCGGGTTGCCTGTTTCAGCAGGTCAAGTACAAAGTCACACCTAATTTTCATTATTTGTCTCTAATGGAGCAGGGAGAAATTCTTCAAAAGAACAAGGCATCTTAAGTTAAATTCTTCTAATCCCAAATTATCCCTACTTTTCACCAGAAGCATTTATATCTGGGAAGTTCAGTCTCATTCCTAGGACAAAGATAAGTGGGTCATTTGAAGGACAGGGACAAGAGGTTACCTGGGGTGGCAGGCAGCACCACAGCCCCGTAGCCTTCTACACGGTACCTCTGCCAGAAGTCCAGGGAGCGGACCTCACAGTAGAGCACAGGCCACTCCGGGAGGGAATCTGAGAACAAGGGAGAGAAGCACCCAGGTCACAGGAAGCCTTGGCCAATGCAGGCCACGGGCTGTGGAGAATGGAGGCCCAGGATCAGCTGCTGTCCTACGTACCTGCTGATTCGTCCTCATGGAGAAAGAATGCTTCCAATGTGAATGGGTAGGAGAAGTAAGCTACCTTGTCCTGAAAAAGAGGAATGTCACTTTATATTCAAGGTCAGAAAGTGGGCCAGGCCTTACTTGAAATCTATTATTCCTGTGGCTAAAAAATGACAGGGTCACTTTCACACAGGAGAAATAAAAATTATCATGCTGATGGGAAACAAGAGGCTGAGTCCAAGAGACAGCCAAACACAAGCTGCCACCACTCTCAAGAAGACTGAAGGAGGCCCCTGGTCCAGGTGGCCCCTCCAGAGCCCACCCAGAAGAGTCAGGCCCACGTTGGGCTCCTTCCCAGAGTGCGCAGCTATTGACCTGAGCTTCAGATGCCACCCTAGCAACAGACGCTCATTCTCTTCAGGGAGCCCTCATCCTCCATACCATTCCCACGGACTTTGTGGCACAGGTCTGAGTTACTCCTGAGAGCTGCTGGAATTCTGGGCTCGACCAGTCTGAAAGTCAGATACCAGATACAGTTAGTTCACCTGGGCAGGGGCTAAGCCATGGAGAAAAATACGAAGTTCCTTCATTCATTTATTCATTCACTCATTCATAAATGAGTCACATCTTGATCAATCAGTTCCTGAATGTCTGCTTCTTGCTAATATGACTTGGGGATGTCTTGGTGACTAGATACGAAAGAGTCCTGTCTCCTAGGAAGCTCACACACTAGAGTGTACATGGAAGGAGAGACGCAGAGCCATAGGAGACTATCAGGTGGCAGCAAGTGGCACTAAATACAGAACCAGGTGAAGGGACTCTGGCTTAAGCCTCAGAGTGGGGCCTCTAAGGGATGACACAAGCTGAGGTCTAAACTGAAAAGGAACCAGCCAAGCAAAGATATGGAGGAAAGGGTCTCTGAACGGTCCTGTAAAGGCCTAAGGTAGGAATGGCACTGGCCGTGTCACCAGCAGGAAGAATAACTGCAATGCTGTAGGGGAGAGAGAAGCAGGAACCAGCTTACTCAGGGTGTGGGGTTCAGAGCTTATGCTCAGTGGGAGGGGAAGCCATTGGAGTTTGCAGCTTAAACAAGACAAAACAGTGTAGCATTTTTAATAACACAATGTGGCTATGAGTGTGAGGCCAAGAAGCTGCCATGCGGGGCAACACAGGAAGCTAGAGGCTGTCAGAAACTTAATGTTTTCATCCAGGCAAGAAATGATGGCCTAACTGGCTGTAGGGAGCTACAGAAAGCAAGCAATTACAGGTGGGTTTCGGCATCTGCAACTAAGTGGATGACTGCCATTTTGCTAGGATGGGGAAGACCAGGGAAGAGAGGTTTGAGGGAGGGCAGTCATGGTCTTGGTCATGAAATTCACCAGAAATGGCAAAGAGGTAACTGGATATAAATCTGGAGTTAGGGAAGAGACAAAGGCTAGAGAGGAATCTGGGAGTCTGAGTTACACAGATGAAAATTAAGCCGTGGGAGGGGTGTGACTGCCTATGAAGAAGAGGAGAGAGTAACAGGGGCCCAGGCTCAGCCTTGGAGATGCGCAGTTTAAGGTCAACAGAAAGGAAACAATCTGCCAAGGTGCCTGACCAGTCCCACCCCCGTCCTTAAAAAGAACAGTATCAGCTTCCATTGAGAAGCCGGGTGAAAGGCTGCCTGAAGCCT